TATGAGTTCGCCCCTGATTTTTCCGAACCACTACATCAGATCTGGCAATCGATTATTCACGGACTGCTGATTCTCCTGTTCAACAAGCTATAGATATTATACTTTCCCGTATCGAATGTTCGAGAATGCGAATATTACATGCGGTGCATAAAACTCGGTTCACTTGTAATGGAGCCGAGTTTATTCAAATATATGGATTCTACTCTTCGAGACGATTTTATTGAGTAGACGGGTTTATGAGTTATTTGGCAGATCGCGAGTATTTATTAAAAATTCAATACAGGCAGTGGCAATTCGACAAAGTATTCGGATTCCGGGTATGAAAGCGAGATGAAAAGTATTTGGAATTATGTTTGTCAGAACAGTGAATTCGGAACTCGATTTCAGTGATAATCGTAATAATGATCGACATTTTCTCTTCGAACTCCGCATACCCTATCCAGACCAGTCTGTCAAGATGGTCGTTTTGATTATTGGAGTCCTTGGTGGAATGATGCCCTTTCCACTCTTGAATCTCACAATCATGCTGGCTAAGGCAAAAATCTTAGCCGAATAAAGGCAGAAGGCTCTCAATATTGGCTCACTGCTCTTGCTAAGGGCATATGATTATCGGACCCAATGATCATTCTTGAAGACGTTGACAAATGTATAGGATAGGCCAGTATTAAGCACATAAAAATCACATCAAACGATAAAATTGTAGATCCGTAGATGAAAATAATACAATGAAAATGTATACAATTAAAGTCAGAATTACAAAAATTAAAACAATTGTAGTTATAAAAATTGAATATGTCATGCCAAAGCCGCAGATGGTCCGAGAGAAATCCACCAATACTATAGTAGGCCTAAGAAAGAAGCAATGTTTCAAATGCTAGAGTATTCATCTGTTTGTAATGGTCTGGTAACCGATTGAATAATTGTATTCCCATATATTTGGGAGAATGTTCGAATTTTATAGTTTTATGTTAAGGAATGCACAACTCCTCTGCATATCGAGTTGGGTAGCTATGATAGAATGAGTTCTTAGTACAGTCTGTTATACATTCGCGAACCTATAAAAGTATTTTAAAGATGTAGATCTATCTGTTTAAAATTTGTTTCTCCGTTAACCAGCTGTCGTACCCCTACGAACGACAACCCTCAGAAGTCGAAACTTGTGCGAGCTAAGGATTAACGAGGTCTTACCTTTTAACGTGTGATTCCTAACACGGGTAAGGTTAAAATTTGATGACTAATGAAAAGTGTCTTGCATGATTCTCTCCAAGGGATGCCTAGTAATTTCCTAATAACTTTTTTTTGAGCAATGAAAACCCTATCTTTGTCAACACTGTTTTCCCATAGGATCACATTATAACTCAGATTATAGACCAGACTGTGATATACATCTAAAATGGTGCGTAAAGGCATACAATTGTTAATTCTTGAGATTGCATAATACCCTTGATTGGTTTTTTTACATACAACTGTAATATGGTCAGACCACTTCAAACAGTTGTCTACATGAACGCCAAGGAATTTTGTACAACTTGTGAATGCCAGTGCCATTCCATTGATTAGTAAGGCAAGAGATTGCTTTTTCAGATCGTTTTTTAAATCAGAATGGATATATTTTGTTTTGGTTTAGTTTACAATCAGATTGTTCATTTCACACCAATTCAAGAACAGTGATATTGATTCCTCTGTTTTTGATTTCAATTTCTCCTGACTCTATGCCAAATCTCAGTTGGGATTCCACTAATGAGCAATACAGCATTAAGAGATGTTTTTCTTCAAGAATTTTTCTTAAATATTTGAATTTAGACTAATAGGCTTTTAATTTTTTGTACTAACTTCCTAATGTGTGAGTTCCATTTTGAATGATTGTTCTATCATTACACCGAGATACTCAATTTCTGTAGCTTGTGTGATTTTCACGATGCTGTTTTCACTTCTGATTTCAAGGGGTTGAAGACTGGGTAAGTTTTTGTTATTCACTGAAAAGGCTAAATATTTTGTTTTCGAAAAATTTATAGACGATAGTTTGAAATTGAACCAGTTAATGATTGTTTTAAAGTCTTTTTGTGTTTTAGTGATGAGCGAGTCCCAGTTTTTGGTCAGCATACAAAACTGCTGTGTCGTCTGCGTAGCTTATAATTGTCCCATCAGTGTGGAGATTAAACAGGTTATTGAGATATTCTGTGTTTCAAAATGAATTCCACATCATTAAAAAATAATTTAATAATCAATTTTCTGAAGTTTCTGTTAATTACAAATTAAAAAAGAATTCCTGCGCTAGTCTGCTATTAACTGATTTTGAAATACCATTTTCTTCATGAAATTCATTCAGCAAGCAAGTTTTTTGGTGCATTATTTTTCATGAGAACGAAATTGAAATTATGTAACAACTGATTTGAAAATATCATATGCTGAGTAAATTGTGTGAATTTCAATTTACCAAGAGAGTAGATTTTACATTTACTGACCCTTGAGACAGACCAAATATACGCAGGCTTAATGCACATATAAATGTATACTTCAATTATGAAATATAATTAACTTACTGATGACTTGATAATGTGTCGTAGTGTGATTTTACTCTTTTTGTAGGAGGCTGCTTACTTCAAATTTCTAAATTATCACTGTCAAGACATATTTTATTTTTGATAATTTTTGAAATTATTTATTTAGTGAAACAGAGGTTTTGTTTACTGTAGGTAACACAACTGTATACACTATAGGTATTAGAGCTCAGTGTGGAAGAGAATCGCATAGTAGCTTGCGCATGGCGACCCATCGCCATGCTAGCAACCGGTTTTACGTGCGGCTATAGATGTTTCAAAAATGGAAACTGCCACATTATGTACATATGTGAAAAATTCAAGATGTAGACACAGCTGAAAATATTTAGAAGAGACTGAGAGTTTCTTCTACTTGAGTTCTAGAGTTCGTTGTATATATATATTGATGTAGTGAGTCTCGTTCCAGCTTATAAAGGAGAAACCACAAATATCCATTTTCATTACAATCTGTTCTTTGCAATACCGTTACCAGTTTTCTCGTAAATGTGAATTCCAGGAATTTCAGAAATGATTTCTGTCTATTCTGTTCCGCCTCTGTCTGTTGTCTAATGAGCTCACTGGTGTTATTCCTATTATCTTTTTATGACACCTATTTCATCAAACTTGTTTCCTGAACTATTTCGTACAAGTCTTTCATTGCTAGTCTGCCTTCTATGCTGGAGAAGCTTTACAAAAAACGGCCCAGGCAAAGCTATCTGGCTTAAAGAGACATGATTGTCTGGCCATCAGTGGTGCCATCAGTACCACACCATCAGCGGCCATTGAGATCCCGGATCTTCCGGGAGAAGAAAATATTGAGAGCCAAGGAAGCGGCTAGACTAAGAACTTTAGGACCCAGTGGTATCTATGGCCTGATGACTACGACAATTTCAGAACTAGACAAACGTCGAACCCATGCTCAATCCCCGAAGAGATGGGCCCTGGGAAGCTGGCGCCGAAGAAATATCTGGCGATGACCAGGAAAAATCTACGCTCAACAATAGGATTTCAGACTGGCCAATGTCGACTCAGGAAACACCTCCACAATATGGGGCTAGTGGACACACCTCTATGCAGGATGTGTGAACAGGAAGATGAAACTGTCAGGCATGTCCTATGCGAATGTCCGTAGTTATCGTCAATAAAAGGGGGGTTTGTTCGGCGAGTCTTCGCCTACGCCTGCTTATATAAAGGAGATGTCTCCTAGAGACCTGTCTACCTTTCTGAAAAGGACGGAATGCACGATGGCCTAGGAGAACAACTCCATGGGGGGATGTGCAATGGATCACATGTGGCCTTAGTGCTGTGGGCCCACACTCACCCTCCCTACTCTACAGATACAGACAGAGATAGTTTTAACTGAAGTTGACGTCATTCAACAAAACTTGAGTAATGCTCATGCAATGGTCAAAATTTAGCACAAAATTTAGCTGCCACATGCTCCATGCCAGGCTTGAGCCATCAGATATGCCGACATCCACACCAACTTCTCTAAAGTGATTCGACGAATCTCCATAACACTTTTATTCACTTTCTCAACATTTTTATCTTAAAAAAAAAGGGATGATGCTAGGGGTGAGGGAGTGGCTTTTCCAGTAAGTTTAAATAAGCCATAATGCTTGCCCCTTCCAACATAAATTGACGTTTGTTTGGATTTTTCCTAAATACCAGTATTACAAAAGTTATTAAAGGTGGATACTTTTATCTGAAAAGCACTGTATATTGATGTAGTGAGTCTCGTTCCAGCTCATAAAGGAGAAACCACAAATATCCATTTTCATTACAATCTGTTCTTTGCAATACCGTAACCAGTTTTCTCGTAAATGTGAATTCCAGGAATTTCAGAAATGATTTCTGCCTATTCTGCTGCTATTAATTTGGATGAAGAGTTGCTATAGTAATACTCATTTGTAGAACGTGTAGGATGTTGGGAATTTAATTTAGGAGAGAGAGAGGACCATCAGTTATTTGGTATATCACGTACAGTGCAAGAATAATATTTGAAAGCAAGCTTGAACACACTATCCGATAAAAGGATTGTTGATTTTCTGAATTATAAATGAGAGAGTGATATATTTATCTTTTCATCTCAATGTCCTTTTCCACTACAAAACTACGGTTGGTCGTACAAAATCGGTTCATAAGCATCAGCAGTGGGTATTTATAGTGAGTTAGTTTGCTTCTTATTTTGATTGAATTTGGTTACAAATAAATCTTTTTACTTGCTTGCTTACATCATGCGAAGATACATGATGAAAGAAATTACGATGAGAGTTTTCAAAAAAGATTCGGAAAATCGATAAATTCAACAACATGAACCGTATCTATATTTTTATAATGCAGGATTTAATGCTGGATGAATGGTTCCTTTAACAAAAATGTTTTTTATTCAGTAACAGTTTCTGAATGAAAGACGGTAGGAAGGAAATTTTGAGGTTGAGCTGGTTGAAATGATATTGAGAATCGGTTATACATTTATTCGTGTGGAAAGCACTTACTGCAAATATGAATAAATAAATAAATAACTGCTGAAGCCACATTTCGATATCGACTCAAACATTTCGAAACAATTCATATTGCAGTTTCAGTTTGGAGATTTTGGTTTTTCTTCAGGATGTTTCAAGTAAAATGCATCCCAGTCTTCCTTGTTTTCACATTCCCATCGTTTATCTTCTTTCCCGTCTGTGAACCGTCCACACCAAGTACCTGTAAAAGTGAAGAAGAACACAAATAAAAAATTAAGTTGAAAGAGTTGGTGCTGGGTCAGAGAAAACGAATCTGCAGTTATTTTTGGGAAAGTGTAAAAACTCTATGATGGTTTGAAACTTTGAAAACCTACAATCATCCCGAGGAAAATCTGAATATGGAAGATTCGAATGTATCAATCTCAAATCTCCTGGAACTATACACTGTCAAAGTTGTATTTCCAATCCATCATTAACGTTCATCATTTTTCAGACATTTCTGGACAGGAACTTCCAAACTTTGACAATTAATAACGATCATCTTGTTGAAGTTACATTTGTTGAAAAAGGTTGTCATTTATTCAGTCTGCTTTGCCAAAGCATCATGGATGGATATATCATTCAACAACACTTGCAAATAATGAAATTATTGTGTCTAAATGGGTGTTCTGTTCAGAAAACGTACCACGCGGTTCGCCCATTTTACCATCGCTATATTCGTTCTACCGAAAGGACTATTCGCAATGTGGTGGACAGATTTGAGTCCACTGGTTCGATAAACGATCAACCAACACCCATGCGTCAAAGAAACGCGAAATCTGACGGAAACATTGTCGCTGTTAGTTAGACTGTACAGAAGAATCCGAGGCAGTCGATTTCGCGTCTCTCACGAGAACTAGGCCTTTCGCAGACCATAACTTGGCGAATTTTGCATCATGACTTGGGCCTGCACCCGTACGGAATTCAACTGACCCAGGAACTGAAGGTAAACAAACATAGACAACGACGTGTTTTCGCTGAATGGGCTCTGAAGCAGTTGGCAATATCAAAAAATTATCTTCAGCAATGAGGCTCATTTCTGCTTGAATGGGTACGTGAACAAATAAAATTGTCGAATTTGTGACGATATCAATCAACACAGTATCCGAGAGCGTTCAATGCATTTCGAAAAAGTCACTGATTGGTGTGATTTTAGGTTGGCGGCGGCATAGGTTATTTTTTTTGAGGACGACAATGGCCAGGCCATCACTGTCAACAGCGAGCACTATTGGTCGATTATTACCAACTTTTTTTGGCCTGAATTGGATGATCTCGACTCCAACGACATGTGTTCTCATCAGGACGGCGCTACGTGACAGACAGCTTATGCCACGTTGGATAATCTGCACGAGCGACTTGAGGGAATAGTCATCTCATGCGGAGGTGATGTGAAGTGGCCACCGAGATCGTGCAATTTGAACCCATTACATTTTTCCTTGTAATGTTTTCTCAAGTCGCAGGTGTATGCGTATAAGCCACAAAGCACAGCGGTCCTCGAAACCAACATAATCCATGGCATCGGCCGAATTGAACTTGATTTATGCGCCAGAGACATGAAAAATTGGACGTTTCAGACGCTTTACACCCAGAGAAGCCATGTGGAAGATCTTATGTTCCACACAATATGTTGTTTTATTCGAATTTAAATATTGGAATCGCTTGATGAAGGAACCTTTGGTTTGTGAGTGTCTTGTGAGGGAGTTAACATTTAGCATAGGATGAAATACGACAACTTTTAGAAAAATTTTGACAGATGATATGGATTGATGGAGTTTTTGGGATGTTCGTATTCATTGGTTATCAATGACTTTGAATTTATATCTGGATTTTTTCACTTCCCGAATGATCGAAACTATTGATGTATTTCAGACAAAGAAAATCAGTTCTCCAAGTTCTCTTCGAAAAGAGTTTTGATGCTCTGGAGGTTGGGAAAAATACTGAACTGATTGGTCGTCCTTTGAGCCTTTTCCTGTTGTATTTTTCATTCATTTCACCAGCAAACAAATGCCTGGAAATCTCGATTCCAACAGAATTTGAGATCTCATTGTTTCAAAACTAGGCCCTTCAAATGAGTTTTTCACTTTGTGTTTGCTGAATTTTCTCTTGAAAACATGGACAAAGACCTGGAAATGACAAATGAAGACTACTCTGAGGAAGTGAATTATGTTCTACTAGTATTTTCACAATGCCTCTGGAGTGACTAAATTTCTACTCAATGATCTTGAAGCTATGGATAATGACATTCCAAAAAATGATTTATTTTGTACATTTACCTGATGAGTCCTGGACCACACTGGTAGCGTCATCTCCACACTCGCAATCTGGTTTGAAAACGATATTGCATGGCAAAATCGACTTCAAAACTACCCCATGACAATTGACTCCGTCGATTTCATCTTTCTGTGGGGTGAAACCTTCCTGACATTTGCAATCCGATAGCTCGTCAGCGGAAATTGATGCAATTAAGAGGGTCAGTGCCAAAAAGATGAACATTCTGAAAAAACCAAATAGTAATTTGAAATTAGCAATCAATTTGACGTAATGTCATCGGCTTTGTTTGCAAATAAGTATTCGGAACGAAGAAACAACTTGGATTGATGAAAATTTCCCAGACTAGGGAGTTCTCGCCTCACGAAAGAGGTAGTGTATACAAAAGGGTAACGGACTGATTTGAAAAAATAGCCTAGATGTTCAAATTTCGCGGGCTACGTAGATACTTATCATCATGAAGTTATGCACCGCTTGTGAGAAGCAATACGAAAAAAACTTTCAGTATTGTGGAAGAAACATCCATGGCATGCATAACCATATTGCAATTGTTTACTAGTCATGGCTTGTTCGTGATTTTTCGTACAAAAACAACACCATAGTCATGCCTGAGCCACCGTATTCACCAGACTTGCCCCCCTGTGATTTGTTCTTGTTCCAAAGTTCGACAAGACCCATGGAAAGACGGCGTTTTGTGACAATTGAAAAGATAAAACTGAATCGCTAAGAGATCTCAAGGACGTACCAAAATGTGAATTTCAAAATTGCTTAGAGAATTGGAAAGCACAGAAAAGAAATTGTTGGAAAAATGGAATTTCCACAAGTGTTTCACAATAGAAAAGCTTCCTAAGGCATAACATTCCATACTGAATTCTACCTAATGAATGATCTTTATAATATAACAATTCAAATCACATAACTTTATATCTATTGATGATTGCTAATTTCATCTGAGTTTAGGTATAAGCCAATCAAAAATCGATTGATTGTCAGTTCAATGATTGAATATGTACTGAACTAATTACCAGTTTCCATAGATTTAGAATTTGATCATTCAGTAAATTTCCAAAATACTTAAATCTATCAATTTCCAATTACTCCAAATAATGGAGTTCAAAACCTAGACATATATTCTTCCGTTCCTTAGAAGTTTCATCTCATTTGGCCAATATAAAGTTTCATCTTTTTTGTTTTTGATACATTTATCAAATAATTATTTTTCGAAGATTTTCCTTCAAGAAAAGAAAGAGATTCAATAGTAGAGGTTCTCATGTAACATGCATATTCTTGAAAATACTCAAATATAGGAATCTTCCCTACTTATATGAAAATGTATCTAATAGAACAGATTACATAACCTGAATTTGCGTAGAAAAACAATGTTGAACATTCCTGTACATGGAAAGGAAATATTTAGATGATCTTTTTTCTATAATATCTCCTCCACAATAAATTACCTCCATAAATGAGAAAATACTTGTTCCAACTGTTTTTAAAAGTAGGTTTAAGCAACATCTGTTCGACATTCATATAACTAGGTTCGTGGCGAGAATCCTGAAAAAGGTTTTAACTCTTCATATATTTCTATATCCATATATAACCTAATCTTTTCTTTTTTTCTCTTTCTTCTGTTCTTCTCTTCAAGCCCGAATAGAATGTTTTATTTTTTATATTTATGGCATTGGTGGAAGAGCAGATTGGAATACAAATTCGCGATCTGAACCAAAAGTAATTTGCACATCAAAAACAAAGTGTTTTCATTTTTACCTCTCTTGTATTTTTCTTGTTATTTTGTTATTTTGATGGGCAATAAATGTTTGAATATTATTATTATTATATTGCTAAGTTCATTATTGTTTTTTGATGTGTGATAGACCTGGTGAATAGCCCATTTTCGTTTTTTCTTTTCAAAAGAATGGAGTCGATAACATCTGTCATCTGACCGTTGTTGACAGCAATTTGTTTGACAAAACTCAACTCCTTCTGGAAATCACTTCCTGAAAAGGGAATATTCCATGGTCTGTAAAGCATAACATCGAATTGACACAAAAATAGTTTCGATCCCTCTGTAATAATTGTGTTTGACTTTTTTGTTTGGCACAAATCAATGTGAAGGGTACATATTTTCCGATTATAAATCCCATAAAATCAAACCATTTTCGGTTTTGCAAATATGTAGCAGGTAACTTACTCAATAGTAACAATAACTCATATGAACTTGAATACTTGTTTCTGCAAGGCAAACATTAGGAAATAGAAAAAAATAAACAGAAAGAAGGGTTTGCATCTTCTCACTTTCTACAATACCGCTTATTTGTAAAGTTTCGAAGGCTTGACAATGAATCAAACTGATACTGAACACTCCATAACTCCTTTGTTGAGATACAATTGAATTTCAAATGCACACAGTAACAAATTGTTGGGCAGATGCACACACATCCAGATACTCATATAGTCAGACAACAATTATGACCAAAATAATTCTTTTCAAAGTTCATTTGGAATTTTTTGGCGTATTTGAGTTTCGAGTAAAAATTTTTCGCCAGCGAATCCATTTTGTGAATATATAGGTACTAAACAAATCTATTACACTTGTAAAATTTTTATTCGAGTAGTGACTTCTTTGAAAATTTTATAAACTGTCACTCGAACAAAAAAATTATAATAACTTACGTTTGTTGATATTGATATCACTCTCGAGCCACTACTAAATTCGCAACTGGATGAACTCAACAAGCAAGAAGTACCGTTGGGCCATAACCTCAACTGGTTGAGCGAGTACTACTTAATAAAATGTACAACAATCTTTTATAGATTTAATCAATTCACAAGAAACAAGTCCAAGTGAATAACATTTATATGTCGATCATTAGTTATTGTTGACCGTGTAATGAGACTCCCATGCCAAACTAACGGGATAATGGTCGAGAAAATATGTACAATGTGTCAAGTGGTGAAAGAAACAAAATTGATAAATATGAATCGATAAATTATTTCTTTTGGAGAGGTTGATTTTCTTGCGGTTTACCACTATATTTCGATCAGTATCACCTATCACCAAGATTTCATTTGAAGAGGATCAGCTCATTGGCGGAACTAGGGGGGTCTATGGTGGGCTTAGCACGCCGTAGAAAAATAAAAGGAATTCATGATTACCGTCACAATGAAAAAGCTGCAACAAAACAAATTTTTACAATAAATACATTCGTTTGCTACAGATTCCATCTGCAATAGATCTATTTAATGAAAAAATCTGTGTTGGTGTGCTTTTCAGTGCTGAAATACCTAAATATGGTAACCAGTGATTTCATTTATTCGAACGCGTATGTTTTTTATCAGGTCCAAGTTTTTTTGTGATCAGACTGGAGTAATTTATCAAATTGATAACTGATTGAGAAGTGAAATATCCACTATTTCAACAAAATTTTTGTTGGTTTTTAGATAGCCCTTGGATGATTATTTGAAAGGAATGCTATTAGGACCATCGAAATATCACCCTCCCTTCCCACAGCTTACTAAGGATTAATCTATTCTCTCTAGACTACTGAGAGCTGTAGCCCCCTCTGGACTTCTTTCCTAGGTTCGCAAATGGATCAGACACAGGTGTTGAGTGCAAAAAAGCTTCTTTCATATTGGCAGTTGAAGTTATGATATATGAAAATCTTGATTTTCGTATATTATACAGCAAAGTGCCCCACCACATCTCGTCTGTCCGTTCATCTATCTGTCTGAGTGATTCAAGAGGAAGGTTTATGTATGCTCACCAATAATTTGTGAAAATTGGTGGAGATTTGTCTGCTCCTTGTGCAGTCCATAGTAGACCATCAATTCACCAAATCAAGAATCATCAAGACTCTAGTAGATCGTGCCTTCGGACTTTCCAATATGAAGGATCAAGACTCTAGTAGATCGTGCTTTCAGGCTCTTCAATACGAAGAAGGTATCGAGAAGAAACTAGGCATCATCGAGAAAAATCTTTTCAACAAAATGGTTACTCCAAAGTGATTGTGGAACAGACTTTGTCTGGAGAGTTGGAGCCTTGCAAGGAAATGAAGCCGTCACAACCAGTGCTTGCACTTTCCTACATCATAGAATTGTCGGAAACGATGAGAAGAATTGGGTCCAAGTACAACCCCAGAACAGCATTCGTAGCAGCCTCATAAAACCACGCCACTAAACAGGAACTGCGAATTCAAGAAGGTAGGAATCCAGGGAGGAACACTGGTTTGAGAGAAAGTTCGAAGAAGCTGTATATATGTTGTCTAACGACGCATTCAGTTGAGCTGGCGTAGAGATACGCAACTTATAGAAACCCATAATCGAGCAGAAAACGGTCAACTCACGGCAAACGGTGAAGCGGTGAGATAGGAAGGGGGGATAGGTGAAAGCAATAGAAGGACCTATAAATAGTTATTTTTCGCAGTAGTAGTTCCGTCATAACCCGAAAACGATTGTGGACACGAACAATGGACACGTCGAGAAGTAAATTGGTTTGATTTTTTTTATTTTTAATTTTTCTGCAAATTTTTAATTCTGTTCTCTTGTTCAATTCTTTCCACTGTTTTATTTCACTTTTCATTGCCTTATACAATTGATATCTCAGCTATTTATTCTATTTTTATGACGATGAAAATCCGAACTGATTAAATTTAGAATATCTTCGTTACAATTCCGTTTCATCTGCCTCAGAAGGGATATATGTTACAATATCTTTTTACATATATTCTCGTTATGACTAGACCAATTCAACGAAAGTCTCACGTAATACGAAATACAAATGAAAACTTCTATATCATGTAGAACTTTGCCATCTTCATATCGCAGCCAAATTAGGTTTCTCCAAAACATCGTAGACACTACAACATTTGATTTTGTCACCGGTTTCATCCCATCATTGGTGGACGTGGCTTCATTTCTCTTGATTGAATTGACTGTGTACGATTAAGGGCAGGTAGCTAGTTACCAATAGTGTTCATTGCCTCTTCCTCTCTTTAAAAATTTTCAATTTGTTTCTGAATTTCTGTTGCCTATCCATATATCTTGGATAGTAGATCTGAGTTCTGTCAAGTATTGTCAAGTATTAGTGTATCTTCTAATGAAATAATATGGGTGCACTCTTTGAGTGCATGTGCAAAATAGGCCGACCACGACCTCTATATCACCTGATATGACGTCTCTAGATATTTTGAGGAGACACGTGACATCTAGGATGTACGATACACAACTGCTGTTCAGGATAGAAGTCATGAATAGTAAGGATGCTTGCAACGAAATTTTTCGAAGAACATTTCATAATAAAAGAAATGAATGTGTAAACAGGCTTCATTATTTTCAGGAAATAAATGGTGAATATTTTGAATATTCAATGAAATAAACTGAGGTGAGTAAATATTTTTTCTTTTTTCTTGAAATTATGATGTTCATCCCCGTGGGTTGGGCAACCTATCGAGCGAGTCCACAGGTGTAGAATAGGGTAACGGCCAGGGGACTGAAGGCCCTGTCCGGGAAGCCAATGTGGCCTTACGTACGAAGTTGCCGGAAATGAGTAGGGTGTGGGAAACTAAAACCCCCCAAAAGCCTTTGCAAAACATACCACTGTGGATCAGCCTACCCAAGCTAAGGTGTTAGGAATCGTGCCGACAGCTGAATGGCCGCAGGGTGATATGCAGCCACGTACGATCCCCTTGGGGAACTTGGCGAAACCTCATTGTAATCAGCCTACCTCTGGTAATGTGGGGCTCTGCCAGAAGTGATCAACTATTTCCTTGCTACTCGTTGGAACACACGTGATTGAAACGAAACAAAAACAGGAACAACAAAAATACGAGTCTGGACAGAAGTGCTCATCTCAATCTAAGGTGGTGGCTAGGATTGAACAGAGATGCCCACCCCAATCTTCCGCTTGGAATGGTGATGGACATTGTAGATCACCTCTAACAGCAAGGGCACTTCCTGCGGCGGACGCCAAGAGCTCCGTCTTGAATGAAGGCAAGGAACGCTGCCCCTGCAGAAAAGCTCCCTCATTTCTGTACCTCCATGGAGGGAACCCCAAGAAGGTTGAAGAAGCCGCGCAACGACAATAATATCGCTGCACCTTCCGAAACCTTTTTGGAGGCCACCGTGAGACACCTCGAAGTTGCCAAAGAGAGTGTGTGTTCGGCGAGTCTTGGCCTACACCTGCCAATATAAAGGAGAAGTCTCCTAGTGACTTGTTCACCTTCCTGGGAAGGACAGGGTGGACGATGACCTACGACAACTCCTCGGGAGGATGTAGAATGGGTCGCATGTAGCCTTGGTTCTGTGCTGTATAAGTGCTGTGAATCTTCACTCACCCTCCCAACTTTACAGATACCAGATATGATGTACTCCGGATATTGGTAAATTTTCAAAATCAATATAAAACTGGTAATTACTATGGACTACTAATCCAATTGCCAAAAGTAAACCAGTATTGGACAGAAAATTGAAATACATATCAGTAGAGGTATCAAAAAGAGAAAAAATTGGTAGTGCTTTTTCGGCGATGACACATTGTCTTCGTGGAAAAAAATGATTTTGGCTTTCGACATCTTCATCCCCATACAAAATCATGTGGAAATCTTCCAAAGTAATGAATTTGGAAGGAATTGTTTTCTTGCAATTTTTTGGAGGAGTTTCCTATTTTTTTGTATAGAAATGGAGAAGCATGAAGCCAAAACCTTCCTTCCACAAAAATAAATTTTCACTAAAAATATGTCCCTCTCAATTTTCTTTTCTATCAGAAATTTTTATTCTGATTCTCCCACTGAATTTTGTCCCACCTCGATATATTTTCTTGATGAAACGTCAATGGTGGGGAATTTTCACATCTGTGCCTGTTTGCGATGAACTATTTGGAAATATTCGTGTAAACATTCATTAGTAAACATGAAGCGAATGACAAATAGATAAGACACATTTATTCAATCAATAAGTTATAATTGAAAAAGATGTTCCAACAATTGGAGCTCACAAGGATAATTGAATTTCTTTTGGATGATTCTTGTAGAACTCATCCCATTCTTCTTTATTCTCACAGTTCCATCTCCTAATCTCTCTACCGCCACCGTAGCTGGAACACCAAGTTCCAGTGTTGTCAACGAGGATTCCAGTTGCCTCAGTGCATTTGCATGAGGGGTTCTTCACCAAGTTGCAGGGAACTATGATCCTCAGTACTAATCCAAAGCACTTGAACCCATTCTTCGGATCTTCCCTTGCCTCGAAACCGCTGTCGCATTTGCAGTTTTTCACATCTGTGATTCGATTTGACTCACAAAGCGCTGCGGCAAAGAGGGGTATGATGAGAAGCAGCAGTTTCATCCTGAAAAAAAAATACTGTATTAATTTCAAGTCAAAAATAAAGTAGTTGCAAGTCAGAATGATTCAATTCTTATTGAGTTTATTTTATTTCGTCCTTTTCTCGGAACATTTACCGAAATTGATTATTGAACCGCATGCGGTAGTATTGCCACTATATTTTACCACTCCGCGATGAAATATATTTTTTTGGTACCTACTCAAGAATCGTCCAACTTATCCGCCTCTGTCTGTTGTCTAATGAGCTCACTGGTGTTATTCCTATTATCTTTTTATGACACCTATTTCATCAAACTTGTTTCCTGAACTATTTCCTACAAGTCTTTCATTGCTAGTCTGCCTTCTATGCTGGAGGAGCATAGAGGAGGAGAAATATCTGGCGATGACCAGGAAAAATCTACGCTCAATAATAGGATTTCAGACTGGCCAATGTCAACTCAGGAAACACCTCCACAATATGGGGCTAGTGGACACACCTCTATGCAGGATGTCTGAACAGGAAGATGAGACTGTCAGGCATGTCCTATGCGAATGTCCGTAGTTATCGTCAATAAGAGAATGTGTGTTCGGCGAGTCTTCGCCTACGCCTACCGATATAAAGGAGATGTCTCCTAGAGACCTGTCCACCTTTCTAAAAAGGACGGAATGCACGATGCCCTAGGAGAACAACTCCATGGGGGGATGTGCAATGGATCACATGTGGCCTTAGTGCTGTGGACCCACACTCACCCTCCCTACTCTACAGATACAGACAGAGATAGTTTTAACTGGAGTTGACGTCATTCAACAAAACTTGAGCAATGCTCATGCAATGGTCAAAATTTAGCACAAAATTTAGCTGCCACATGCTCCATGCCAGGCATGAGCCATCAGATATGCCGACATCCACACCAACTTCTCTAAAGTGATTCGACGAATCTCCATAACACTTTTATTCACTTTCTCAACATTTTTATCGGTTGTTGATGTGCTGGGGCGTCCAGGCCTAGTGTCGTCATTCACATTTTCTCTAACTTCTGTGATGAGCTTGTATCACTGGTAAAGATATTTCTGTCTCAGAACACGCAAAACAATAATAACTTTTATGTCTCTGACCAACAAACTAAACATATCATATCAAAATTTCAACAATGTGATAAAGTGTTTTTTGGGAAAATATAAAATTATCTTCACTTTCGACAAAATGGCATCAAAGAATCTATGTTCAATAGCTGAATTTCTTATCATTCAAATTATATAAAATGAATATATTCGGATCGGTAGAGAATATGTACAAATGGAATTACCAAAGTTGATAATTAGAAAATCATTTGGTATAGAAATTAGTAATTATATAAGCTTCTGAATGATGAACCTTATTTACAAATTACTTTTAATGATATCTGACATAATAAAATATATCAACATGAAAAGATTATTGAAGTGAAAGGTGGAGTTCAACTTTTGTGATAAAGTATCAAATCAGTAACTTCGTCAACCGTCAACATAAAAAAAATAAAATAACCACCCAAAAAATTACCGTCATTATCAAAATTATTTTTATTTTGTTGAGACAGTATCGCCAATCAATGAAAAAATTATAAACATGTTTAAAATCACTCATCATTTACGAAATATTTTGTTTTTTTCCGAATAGTGCCTCAAAATATCGGATGGTTGAAGGAGGACACCCGCATGAGGCATGCCTTCCAGTTCACACATTCTGCATAAAGGTGTGTCTACTAGCTCCATAATATGAAGGTGTTTCCTTAGTTGACAGTGGCCAGTCAGATATCCTACTGTTAAGCATAGGTTCCTATTGGCCATCGCCAGATGTTTCTCCGGCGCCAGCTTCCCAGCGTTGCCCAGAGTAATCCTGGCAACGCTACATCCTTTGATTCCAAACTATCTCTTCAGGGATTGAACATGGGTGTCACATTTGGCTAGTTCTGTCAGTTGTTAAAATGAATTTTTTTAATTCTGTTTTGAATTTTCCCAGCGGTTTTGAAATTTTTATAGATTCTGGAATGAAGTAATAATCTTTAGGAGCTAGATAATGGTAACCCTTCTGTCCTATTACCTTATTCATTCGCGGGACGATGTACCTGTTTTTTTGTCGAGTGCAATGAGTGTGAAGTGGAAAACTTGCATTCATTCCCTGCAGGTGATGTCTGATACAAATTTGTTAGAAATACAGTTGCCTTATATCGAGTATACTTGTTTCAGAATAGAGTAAGTTACTTGAATATCTAGAATCTTTGTCTGCCATCATCCTGAGAATTTTTTTTTGAGAAATTTCAAGCATATTTAGGTGGCTCCGCGATACTCCTCCCCATCCTATTACCCTTTAATTCATATGTTCTATAATAAAACATACTTGATGATGGGAAAGGTAATTATAATGTATAACTAGAACAACTTATTTTCAGATGTTATTCGATTTTGACAATGAAACTATAAAAAAATGTTAGCTTGAGAAATTTTGTGAAAATATGACATATTTTCAACTCTTCAACATGTTCGACATGAACCCAACATTTATTATTCCATCAATAACAGAAAACAAACAACAACATTCACTACATATGTATGAAAAATAATCAACTCTAATTCTTCCAAGTACTTTTATAGGAGAGAGGGACACATCTTCATTTTCATTTTTAATTACCAAAACTGATATGAAAAGAGCAATCCATTAAAATACTCAAATTGATCCAAAATAATATCATTCACAAGTGAAAATTCAAAAAACAATACTGCCTATATCAGAAACGTCTTCCGAAATAACGGATATGTCGAAGATTTTGTCAAAAAGACAATCACAATCATCATAACACATCCAAACATCTCTGGTGTTTCGGAAAAGTACTTATCTTTAATTTGAACTACTCCAAATGTTCCAGTTTTTCCTCTCATCACAATATCTATTACAACAGGTTCTTTATTGGAATGTTATACCTCGAATCCTCAGTAATAATGAGGAAATGAGACGAATTAGTTTCAAATTCTTAGTTTGGATAGATTTTGGAAATGATGATATAGAAAATCATCAACGAACGAAAAAAAAAACAAGGAATTTCGTTATTGTGTGGTCAAACTGGTATAAACCTTCAAGACCATTGAAAATATAAAAATATTGACAAGGTAATATAAAGTATCGGTAGGTAAAAAATCTATATCGGAGGATCATACTCCAACAAGAAGGGTACACATAAAAATTTTGACAACGCTAAAATTCTCATAATGATAATGAACATGAACAAACAGGGGTTCCACAAAAGAGTTTTCAATGAAGATGTTCCTGTACCAACTTTCAAAAAATACGTGAAACTCACTTTTTGTAATCTCACACTCCTCAGCGAGAACCACCACAATACTGACTCGTTTGTTCTTCTCATTATGAGTCGCTTAGTTGTACAAACTATTGTACGTGTGATAAAAATAAACTTATGGAGATTATCGTATAATCCAACCACACTTCAATCGCTTAACATTGAAACTCAATTACAATGATGTTCTCAGTAGCAATTACACATTCAATGGAAAATATTTACTTCGGGAGTAAACTTTCACCCGAGTGAGTCATTGAAGTGTAATCAAGAATTAGGAACCTCTAAAAGGTTATCGTTGTTTATACCGAAATTTGATACCAACGTAAACGGTTCATTTCAGAGTTGAGTCTGTCATTGATTGTGTCAATCATAATAAATTATTAATGAAATTAGAGACATATGGAGTCAGGGGTGTTGCACTTCAATGGATTTCAAGTTTTTTACAGGATAGAATTCAGTATGTGAGCATAAAACATAAATGAAATGATGGTATAATACCAAAAAAATTCAGATAAAGTCAAACTCGATATGGGAGTGCCGCAGGGATCAATTTCAGGTCCTATCCACTTCATTCTCTACGTTAATGATAAAGAGAATGTTTTAGGGAATAAAATGTACACAGCATACGTTGACGATTTTATGTTAATTCTATCAGATTTTGATGATGACCGCTTTGAAGAAAAATGCAATGTATATATGGAAAATTTAATTGCCTACTATAGTGGTAATGACCTTCATTTCTACCAGTCGAAAACACAAATCGTAAGGTTTCATACTAGGCAAAAAACGTTTCAGCAAAAACTCACTTCTACATCTGATAATGAATCGAAGGGCATTACTGCAGAAACCGTGAAATTTGAAGGTGTATATGTTGATGAATTTCTTAGCTGGAAATCTCATTGTGAACAGTTAGTGTCAAAGTCAGGTTAGGTTAGGTTAGGTTAGGTTTTAGGAATTTAAAAGAGGTACTGGAACAAAATCAGTTGATAACTTTCTATTACGCTCAAGTAAATTCACGACTGACTGAGGTATGGGTTGTTTCTGTGGGTTAATACTATCCATGCACGGGATGTTCTCTTTAGCCAAAAGAAAATTTTGAGACTAACAGCAGGAGTTTCCTATGATCATTCATGTAGAAATATTTTCCCTTCTTATGAAATTTTACCTCTAGCAAACTTATATATTCTTGAAGTATGCGTCTACATATTTATGAATATTGACAAATTTTATAAAAATTCCAACATTCATACATTGAACACAAGGCAAAAAAATGATATTCAAGTTCCATATGCGAGACTCAATATTACTTCAAATTCTCCTAATTGTATTGGACCATCTTCCTGAAATTATAAAAGCAACAAAAACATTATTTACTTCAAAAAAGCTTTAAATGACTTCCTATTGGAGAAATGTTTTTACTCACTAGATGAGTATTTCAAAGAAAATTTTTGATTAACTTGTGCTTGTTTAATGTACTTTCATGCACTTTTATTGTGACACCCAGTTTTTGTGGTATTTTGTTTCGTTTTATAACCACTTTATTTCATTGTATTTTATTAATGACTATTTCTATACATTCTAGTTGTCAAAAGGAAAATAAATATTATTATTATTATTATCATTGACGTTACGTGACAAAAAATCAATATGGATGAATTCAGCATGTCCACAGATCATTCTACTATCCTCTTCTCGTTGATCAGAGTCTCCTAAAAAAAACAAGTGCCTAAAATTAGGAGAAAGTTACTGAAATACTACCAAATCTATGAAAGAAAATGGATCTGAACTAGTGTTCAAATCGAAAACAGTTTTTATGAAGGTTTGTTTGAAGGTGGTTGACAATGTTTCGTGGTTGAAATAGAATACAAACAACAATAAAAAAATCAAAGAATTTAACTATCAACACGGGATGAAAATCAAAACTTATTTAAAAGAAATGAAAATTAAAAGATTCCATGACCTGAAACATGAACTTGCGGTTGACAATATGTCACTCCTGCCATCCAGGTGTTCAATGTTTGTTTGGAAAAGACCAAAGCGATGTCAATAACAGGTTCTGGTTCGATTATGCTGCTTGCAGCACCCTCCTTTGCAAGGGAGTCCAGGCCAGTATGGCCAGGAATCCAGGCCAGAGTTAGGTATTTCTATTGGGGAAAGTCGTTTTTCAATATTTTTATTCCAATCTCCTCGCACACAATTCAATAGCGCGAATACAGCCAGACAGGTTCCTAGGCGAGTTGATATTTCTGTACTGTGTCTGCGACTGAAAACACCTGCACCAAAACCTGAAGGTGATTTCGATCCATCTGTGAACCAACAACTATCTGCTCGTAAAATTTGCTGTACTTTTTGACCGTCTTCAATTGACTGTATAACTATGATCAGCTTCTAATCTTTACCATACAATAAAAATTTGCGACGGTCGAAACGACGAATGATATAAATCAAACAATAGTGGTCCCAAGTGGAAGCCTTAAGAGACATCCGAGGTCACATATACAAAGTTCATTTGAATGTATGCAAATTTCCAATCAACCTTGAGTCCGAATTATTGTGTTCCCAAAACATTGTCAAGCTCTCCTTCACATACAGCTTCAACTATGTAAATTCACAGATTCCAGCTCCAAAAAAAGGGACCGTTCCACGGAAATAATCCAAAAAACTTCAACAATTTCCATAACGAATTCCTTTCCTCACACGTAACAAATGATTCGCTTACAAGTTATTCCGAAATCGCCCTATATCTCAGTCAATATGAGCGGGTCACAATGAACAGACGCGATCCCATGTCATTCGATGAAAGAAGCGGCTCAACTTCTTAATGCATGTAAAATAATTCACTCCTTTGTGTGGAAAGCCCCGTCACAAGACGTCTCCCTTGTATAAATTTCCTATTTAACTTTCAGGGTACGATGACGAGCCGATGTCAAAGTTTCATGCACTCGAACGACTTTTCCGGATAAAAACTGACATCAGTGCTGAATGGATACCTATTTTCCATGGCATGGAAGGAGTCGGATGTCGAAAATTCTTTATTTCAGGTACCGAGATATTCAGATGAGCGCTCATTTTTTATTTTTTGGAAATTTATCAAGATGTTCGTGTAGATTCTGGCGGGATAATATGGTAATAAAAAGTTGCGAAAGTTTAGCGTATAAAAGATTTCTGCGTTCCTTTTCGTCTCTTTCAGAGAAGAGAACTATATATTGTCTGGGCTTAGATTTGAATGGAAGCCAGAAGTAATTTGGGTAGCAGTCGTTTTTTATCTTTGTGCAAGTTTTGATTCATTACGTCTGGTGACAGGTTTGAGAGCTTCGAGTTAGGAATACTGTTGAAGAATTCTTTCGAGCAAAGAATTTGTCAGTGGTTTTATGAAAATGAAGGAAAAATTGAAGAACAATCAATTCTAATATTTATCCAATGAAACAATGGAATTTTTGACCATATCCAACTGGATGACAAAGAAATAGTACTCTGAATAGTTCAAGGTGTTCATTATCCAACACCACAAAGCATTGTTGAATCACGAATGCGTCTTGCAGAAGACGAATCTCGTTGGTGGTCGCTATCGAAGTCTGGCTCTACATTGACAACCTTGAGGGGTATCTTTCATGTTTGATATTCGATATTGAATCTCCTGTCCATTCTATAGAAGTCACTTTTGAATCATCATCTGTACTCACTTCAAAATGTGTTGATCTGAACCTCGTTCTGAATTTTAGCAAATTAATTGAAGCAGTTTAACACTTCTACAGAAGTAATTGAAAACAACAGCCGAGTCCTCAAGTCCCCAACTTCCTTTCCTTCATTAATCCAGTCGACTAGAATTGATCAAGATGATTGAATCCTCGATAGGATGGCTCAGATGGGTAAAACTTATCAGTTCAAAATTATGCTACAGGTTTCTGAAAAGTAACCTATGATATAAGGTGACAAAAGGTGATGAAAAAGCCATCGATAACTACAGACCAATAAGTAGTATTTCAATATTCAGTAAAGTGGTTGATATTATAATTCAGATTCATCTCTATGGTTACTTTGAGAATAATAAATTTTTCAGCAACTCACAATATGGTTTCAGAAAGTCTCGCTCAAGAAGAGAAGCAGTGGTCGACGTCGTATCTGGCGTGATTGAGGAACTTCAGCAGGGCAATCACACTGCGTTGATGCTTTGTGACCTGTTCGAATGCGTCTCACATGAAATTCTGTTGGAAATAATAAACTATTACGGAGTTAGAAGTATTCCGCTCCACTTGATAAGAACCTATCTTACTAATCGTCAAGTAGTGATCCTCAACGGTACCTCATCAACATTTCAAACTATTAAGCATGGCGTTCCACAAGGGTCTATTTTGGGCCCGCTCTTATTTGTCATTTATGTGAATGACTCGTGCAAATATATGATGCCGTTCAAATCGGTTCTCTTTGCGGACGACACCACTTCCATTCTGTCGGATAAAAATAATGATATTTCACAGTCTCATCTGGACGATGTATCAAATAGTGCTAATCAGTGGTTTCTATCTGATAAGCTGAAACTGAATTGTCAGAAAACACAATACATCCAGATTCCTGCTAGTAATCAAATTATCTCTAATTGTGAAACTCTAATTGGATAATAGACTCAACTGGTCTGCATATATTTCTCAACTGAAGCGAAAACTCTCAGGTTCTCTATTTGTTCTTCACCAATTGAAGTACATCACTAGTGCAAATATATTAAAAACCTCATATTTTTCACTGTTTCACTCTCATATTAGTTATGGTGTACAACTTTAGGAAATTCATGTCATTCCATTCAAATATTTAGGATGCTAAGGAAGAGAAAATTGAAAAATTATTTGTTGAGGCATTGCTTCTATTCTTTCGATGACTTCAGAACACATTTTTGTGGTAACACACAAATCGCTACTTCTTTTTGATTTTCAAAGTTTTCACATATATGATTGTTGTTATTTGCGTGTGAATTTCAACTTGTGAATTTTAAATGTAAAGTCACATCTTGCTAAACACATATTGTGTTATGTAACGTAGTAATTTTTTTTTTCACCGAAGTATGCGCTGGTCAAGCCCTATACCTCGAAGCACCGATACATTCGAAAGGGCGCGCCAGCATTATCAACCAACGACCACACCGTGGGGTAAGTGATCATTGGCTCCGAGAATCATATGCCCTGAGCCCTGTCCAGC